AACTGACAATCTAACACTGTGGAAAGGTGTAGAGTAGAGTAGAGTAGAGTAGAGTAGAGTAGAGTAGAGTAGAGTAGAGTAGAGTAGAGTAGAGTCGAGTCGAGTCGAGTCGAGTCGAGTAGGAATAGGAATAGGAATAGGAATAGGAATAGGAATAGGAATAGGAATAGGAATAGGAATAGGAATAGGAATAGGAATACTAGTCATAACTGTTATATTGTCCTTAAAGATGAGTTATGAGTCAGGCCATGTCACCCTGATTATGAAGTATCCTGGACTAAAAATAATACCTTCTCCAAGGGAATAGATGACATCCTAATGCAGTTACTTCATCTTGCTTAGTTTTCCTATTCTTCTGCTTTCCAGGCATGAGAATGGCAATATTACCTGTAGAGCAGGTGTGTCAGACTCAATTTCATTGAGAGCCACATCAGCGTTGTGTTTGACCATGGGGGACGTGGTTGGTTGGGCATGGGCATGACACCTGAGCTCCATTTTTCCTGGCAAAGGATTACAGAAGGCTATCATATTCAAAAATGGAGCCTGGGAGGACTGGACGTTTTCGCTGTCAGAGGCGCCACAGGCCCATCCTTTACTGTTTCCAGGGCAGCCCCATGGGCCAGAGCTAAGCACCCCACAGGCAGGATCTGGCTTGCAGGCCTTGAGTTTGACCCTTCTTCTGTCGAGCCTCAGTTCAAAGTATAAAATTAAGTTCAATAAACTTACTGGTAATACTTGACTAGTGTTGATAAATGTTTCCTTCCTGTTGATAAATAATTCCTTCCTCCCCATCCCCATAGCTTCAATTTGTCCTAAAATAACATCATCAAGTGATCAGCTCTGCTGTGCGCCCCACCTCCTGGCACATACACAGGAGGCAGATGGTTAATAGCAATATCATACATACTTTCTCATTTCCCCCTCATCAAGCCAGTTGGATATTCAGTGTAAACTAAATCCTGATTTCTTTTCCAGCAACCAAGCATTCAAAATGGAAGAGTGATAATTGTGTTTCAAGATTTGTATATATATCAGAATAAATTACCAATTGAATGCAATCATGGCTACATTTTGGTAGGATCTCCTGTAATTGAATGTGATGCTGATAGTCAGTGCAAACCAGTGACATGCGGTGAGGTTTATGGCTGGTGAGGCTTGAAAGCAGCTTTTGCCCACTTTCTTGAAAGTGGCTTTTGGCTGCTGTCAAGAAAGAGGCTTTTGGCCGCTCCGGCGCTATGTCCGACATAGAGCCGGGACGCCTCTATGTCGTACATAGCGCTGGGGCGGCCAAAAGCCGCTTTCTAAAAAAAAGAAAGTACCAGCCTGCCAGCAGAGGTGGGTAAAAGACTCATCTCTGCTGGCGGGCTTCCCCGACACAGAGAAAGAAAGCTGGTGGGCTGCCCCTCTCTTCTCAAACAAGCTGCTTTCTAGAAAGAAAGAAAGAGCCAGCCTGGCAACAGAGGCGGATAAAAGACCCGCCTCTGCTGGTGGTCTGCCCCGACACAGAGAAAGAAAGCTGGCGGGCTGCCCTCCCTGCCTCTCCTACCCCCTTCGCTCTGAGTGAAGAAACAAATACACANGATTGAGAAAAGGGTAGAATATTTGGGTATAAATTTGACACTTAGGAATTGTATGTTGTTTCAAAATCATTATGTTAAGACATGGAATGAAGTTACAAAATATTTGTTAAGATGGCAAAAATTATAACTGTCATTGTAGGGAAGAAATTGCAACTAATCAATCCATGGCTTAATCTTAAATATTCTATATAGTTTTCATAATTTATTTACTAAAAGATAATTCTTTTTTCCCTTTTTAGGTTTAGGATGATAGGCCGTTCTACCATTTCGTGTGTTATGAAATCAGGCAAAGTTGATTGGGATAGAGATCTTCCAGTTTGCGAATGTAAGATGATACTTTATTTTAAACTTATTAGATTTCTTTTGGTGCTTTTACATTTAAATTTCTAATAGCAAAAATTCAGTCTGCCCAGCCTTTACCCTTTCCTTCATTATCAGAATGATATTCATATCCAATGTTCTTAAAACAAGTGAAAATTATAAAATAAAAATAAAAGCAATGACATAAAGTGTAGCAATAGTACAAAGAATACGGATAACATTAAGTACGCAAACACTTCACTACAAGAGAGATCAGCACTGCAATATTTCAATTCCCAACACCTTGAGGAAGAGGTTCATGGTTGGAGCTAGTCTCATCTCTGAGGTAGGGGTGAATGCTGTTCCACACAAGGGTGGCTTCAGATCTCATTGGTCAGGCAGTTATTGGAGTAGACATTTCTGAAGATATTTTGGTCATCAGGTGTTTAATGATGACAACCAGCAGTTTGCATAAACCCATCGCGATTGCAGCTCTGAAGGAAGTGTAGTTATATAAACAAAATGAGATACACCTATAACTAATTGCATTTATGTATCTTTTAACTATCTATACTTTCTCGGCGATTTTCAAAAACGGTGTGCTGCAAAGGTTCAACCAAGAGATTTTTAAGGCATTTATGAGTATCTGTGACAAGAGCCAAGAGAAGTAAAAACTGACAATCTAACACTGTGGAAAGGTGTAGAGTAGAGTAGAGTAGAGTAGAGTAGAGTAGAGTAGAGTAGAGTAGAGTAGAGTAGAGTAGAGT